GTACAATCGTACGATTGTATGGGGGCCCGAATATGCGGGTTTCACCCAATTTTGGGTAAATCGCGAATGCCAAAACCATAACATAAAAGAAACCCGATAAAAAAAAAAAAAGAGAGAAATAAGAGGGAAAGGACGTTATTGAAAGACAAGTAAAATTATACTGGAAATAAAACTTAAAAGAAAACGTTGTCCGATAATATCGTTAACCGAAATATTGAGCATAATTGAGTCAGCGCTATTGTGACGTACGATCGACAATTAAACTTTGAAATCAATAATCGAACACAAATTTTTCTTTGTCATAATTACCTCATAATTCGGTAATAAGAAAGTAAAAACAACATAGTGGAGTCATAAATTGGAAATTAAAAAGCCTATTGTGACGAACATTGTTGAATAAATATTCAACATTAGTAATCACCTAAAACCCATATAAGTAGAAATTTTTTTCAAAAAAAAAAAAAAAAAAAAAAAAATTTTTTTTTTTTGATACCATTAACCTCTAACACATAAACCACTAATCAAAAACCATAACATAAAAGAAACCCGTACATAGCAAGCACCTTTTTTTTTTTTCTTCAACAATGGAAGATCTTCTCGACGACAATACCTCAGAAGATCAACGCACTATACAAAGTGGAAATGAAAACGAAACTGCACAAGTAAATCAGGATCAAGTAAACGTAATTCTTAGGGAAATAGCGAACGCCTTTCGAGACGCAACTTTGGGAGCCGTCCACGATGTACGACCAGAGCAACGTGAAAATAACTGGGTGAGAGTTAGAACGTTTTATGGAGAAGAAGAGGAAGATCCGTTTGAGTGGATAGAAGCCTTCGAACGTGCCGCCGACGCTAATAACTGGGCAACTCGAAGAAAAATTAAAATTGCAACGGGATACCTCGCTGGAATTGCTGCAGACTGGTTCCACGACAATAAAGAAACCTTGTTGTACTGGGACGAACCATATGATCAAGAAGGAAGTTTCGTGCCGGAATTCTTAAAATACTTCGCCACTTCCGAACGGAGACATCAATGGCAGGTCGAATTGAATTCCTTGATCCAAAAAGAAGGAGAACGAGTAGGGAACTATGCTTATAAATTCAAGAAACTGTTGAAAAGAGTAAATACCGGAACAGCCTTACCCCAAGAATACGTCGTACGAATGTTTATTGGAGGCCTTCAAGGAAAGGTGGCATCATTGGTCTCCGTAAAAGACCCAAGAAATTTGGATGAAGCCATCTCCGCAGCCAAAAAGATCGAAGCTGGAGGTTATTATGGAAATAAGGCGACAAAAGAAAAAGAAGGAAAGAAGGATAAGTTGGAAGAAGATATAAGTGAACTGGCTCAGCAAGTTCAAAATATGAGTGTCAACTACGCTAAACTTACGGCCCTATTAACAACCCAAGTCGAAGCAAGTACCCAACGAACTAGACAAAATAATAGAACAAGTAATATGGTAACTTGTTTTAGGTGTGGCGAAAAAGGTCATTATTCAAGAGATTGCCTCGCGGAAAGAGAAACACCAACCACCCATGGAGAAAAACCCACTCAACCCACTAGGATCGTAAAACGTGAAACCGAGGCACACTATGGTGGAGTCAATGACAGTTATAATAATGAAAGAGAAATATACACTATTGATAATAGGTACCAACCTTATGATAGAGAGAATAGGGAACGTCCCCGACCTAAGTCAGAATCGCAACGGGAAGGACAGTTAATAAATAAAAAAACTGTCAGTATTCAACCAAAAGAATTTGAAGAAACCTACCCTCTAATCGACGATGATGACCTAATGCAAGATGACTTACTCGCCCCTACACGAGCCCCAAGAAGAAAAAGAGGCCCGTCGATAGTAGATTCGATCGTCGCTTACAATGTTGCCGATGATATTCTCTGCTAGCGTACGACACAACAAATTCTTTGCCGTTATCGTCTTTCTGCGAAAGCACTGCACCAAGTCCGGAACCCGAAGCGTCAGTGTGGATAAAGAAGGTCTTAGAAAAATCGGGATACCGTAGGATGGGAGCCGTAATAAGGTGACGTTTAAGGGATTCAAATGCGTAATTTTGGTCGTTATTCCACTTATACTCAACGTTCTTTTTCAGCAAATGATGTAACGGACGGGCGATGGTGGCGAAGTCTTTAATAAATCGTCGATAGTACGACGCCAGACCAATGAATCCTCGAAGTTGTCGTAAAGTTTTCGGGATCGGAAAATTCTTCACTTTTTCAATCTTCGATTCGTCGGGCTTAATTCCATCTCTACCCACAACGTGACCTAGGAAACAGATATTGCTTCGGAAAAAGGTACATTTTTCAAAATTTAGTTTTAACCCGGACTCCTTTAGTTTCTTAAAAATGACACAAATATGATCTAGGTGTTCATCAAAATTTTCGGAATAAATATTTATGTCGTCTAGGTACACTACGACAAACTTTCCAA